CCCAAAAAAAAACCCATAAAAACAACAACAAACAACGGCAAAAAACTCATCTACCAATCCTGAAGCACAAGTCGGAAATTCAATGATATATGAGCATTGGGTTTCCTCCTCTTCAATCTTTCCATTTCTCGGAATTACAAAGGATGTCAGAAAACTCTGCAAAGGGCGATCCCAGATCTTTAATTACACCGCAGCAATGCGCTAGCAACAGTTTCCTTCCTTCTTTCTCTGGCCTCGATCGGTACCTCAGGGCGTTCTCGATGACGTCAGACCCGCAAGCAAAAGAGAATTTGTCCGTCTGCCTCATCTATTCTGGCCGTAATCCCTTCCTTTCTTCCAAGCCTGTGGGAGTTGTAGTCTCATTAAGTCTACTTAAAACTGCAATGCTGCTTAATGTGACGTTTACTGGAAATTTTGTTCCGTTTCCAGATTCATGTTGCTGCTTGTCTGCTGTTAACTTTTTTTTTAATACAAAAACCTCTCCATGATTAACTTTCGATTCCTCTTAAACATTTACTCTGATTCCTGAATTTTTCACATTCATTTGCTCCTTCCCAATATTTACTTTACTGTATGTCTATCTTCTTTTTCTTCCATTTGAAGAATGCAGAATTTCAGTAATGAAAGTATTGACATTTTGCTCGGAGACTTAAAAATGTGTCTTCCTGTTGAAAAGAAATAACTGATTTTTCTACAATAGTCTGAATGGTTATGTCATAGCACTGATCTCTTATTAAGTCTTGTGTCGTTTGTTGTGTTAGCAGACTGATATTTTACTTGGCAATATTTTACGAATGCCATAAAAGAATATACGTAATACTCTATAAAGGTGCTTTAGCTAAACATTATTCACTGGGATTTCGTTCTGATAAAGAAAGGGTTTGTCACGTTTTAAAAATCGTATCAAACTGTTTTAAATATTTTTTTATATTGCTTTTACCAGTTTTTAAATATCATAATTTACTTTATCTCTAAGCGTATCAAACATTTTCCCTTTAGAACATTGTAACCAACTATATCAAACACCATTGTTTGCACTGGCTCTTATCTTTTTTCCCTATCCTTTCCCCTCAGCTGGTCAAGATGATCATCATCGTGGTCGTCATCTACGCCGTTTGCTGGCTGCCCCTCCACGTGATCACCCTGATCGGAGACAGTGACCCAGATTTCTACAGCCTGCCACACATGAACGTGGTGTGGCTGTGCGCTCACTGGCTTGCCATGTCTCACTCCTGCTACAACCCTATCGTCTACTTCTCCCTCAACGCCTCCTTCCGGCGCAGCCTCACGCGCATCGTGACTCTCTGCAGACACAAGCAAGCGCGTTTCCGCCAACACCTGTCTTTGCGAGGCACTGGTTTTTGGGACGCCGGATTTGACATTTACGGCAGTAACGAGTGCGTCAAGTCTAGGAACAGCATCCGGAGCGTCCACTCAACGTCCAGCAACACGCGCTCACTCACCGTGAAGCGAGGAGACGAGACGCTCGTGCACTGGAAGGCCGCCAACATTAGTGGCGTCAACAACGACACTCACTTCTGAAGGAAGGATTCGACAGTCGGTTGTGGTTGATGTTCTGTTCAGGGCACGATCTGCCTCATAAACTGTGTCCCTCAGTTACTGGGCAAGAAAAGACTTGCTTGCATTGAAAGGACGAACCAAACAGTAGCACCTTAAGAAAGAAATATACTCGACAGAAAACTGAAACAATGTCATCGGTTTATATTTCAACTTTGTCCAGAAGGCCATTCAGTTTTGCTTCCACCAAGAAAGCTGGCTGTGGGTCCTTGAGAAGTGTGGTACTGCTGACACAATTAGGACGCACTATTCTTGGACAAAACAAAAATCGACATAAAAAGGCGTGCTACGACCAGTAAACTGTCTTTACCCCTGAGACCTTTCAAGAAGATATCCTGTTGTGTTAAACAATTGCTCACCCTTAGTGCACGCACGACTGTTGTCTGACCCTACGCCATGTAAGGCATGAGTTCTTCAGGCTGTCTACTTCTCCCCCCCCCCATCCCACCCCACCATCTACGCTTCTTTCAGACCTATTGTCCTAGAACAAAGAGTCTCAAATGACAGCAGCCGCTCAAATTACCAAATGTTGCGGTCTGTAAAAGGAAACTGCTGTTATATGAAGAGACAAAACAAAAGGACGACAGAGATACTTTGTTTTGAGAGAGATATAGAGCACCCAGCTCACCTATTTACTGCTACAGGGCTATTCAAAGACGGTACTCGTGTTGCTATGTACTCATAAAGGGCTTTGAATGACCTCCGAAGCAGTGCACTGCATATCGATCCCGGGATTTGAAGTCTTACCTTTACGACTCAGAACAACCTCTTTGGTTGGTATTATTTTCAGTTCACCCAGGGCCGATTGAGAGTGAGGAAAATAGCTTTTGAGTACTCCCCTGATGAGCCAAGAGAAACTTGCTGAACTGGTCAATTGAAAAAACATGAAAGTCCTCTGATTTTCTGATGACTGAATGAGGATGGAACGAAGATGGAACGAAGGAGGGTGGAGGTGGAATCTATAAAACTATAAGAAAGCTGTTGTCTTGTCACAAAAAGTATTTATTCAAAAGTCACTAATCTAGTTTGTGCATACTCAGATATTGGTTGTTTTTTCAATCTGAGAAACCATGATCATGTAACATAAATGAATTCATTTAATAATCAGCCCTTGAGCAAAGGAGCCAGTGAAAGAGTTGGAGAGATTGTGGGAATGTGAGTACATTCGTGTGAGGGGTAAGTGCGTGAGAGAGTGGTGTCGTAAGCTGGGTTTTTGTTTTTTGAGTGAGCCATTGTTTGATAGAGTAAATACGTGAGTGAGTGAGTGTGTGTGTGTGTGTGTGTGTGTGTGTGTGTGTGTGTGTATGTGTGTGTGTGTGTGTG